TAACTAGAAGAAGAAGAAGAAGAAGAAGAAGAAGAAGAAGAAGAAGAAGAAGAAGAAGAAGAAGAAGAAGAAGAAGAAGAAGAAGAAGAAGAAGCACGGTCATAACATCAAAAACAATAATACTAACAATAAAATTGATTTGAGTAAAATAATGAAATAATATAAAAATAATAAATGGAGTAATATTATTATAAATCAAAATTTCTAAAAGTACACTACTTGGAATCCGCCGATTGTATGGGATCAGATACCTTGTATGAATACGTTAAATTAGATAATTCAACCCAAACAATTTGAGGTTATATCTTAAGATCACCATCCTTTTTTTCAAGAGGAAAGTAGATGTCTATTCCCATTTTGTGTTTGGTCATTCTATTGAGTTACATCTATAAGACCAATCTCCTCGTGGTTTAAGGAGTGGAAATATGATGTATTGAATGGTCACTCTGAAGTTAATAAACACCGTTGCTTAGCCCTATTCTTTTTTTCATTCTTTTTTTCTGTCCATGGTTTCAGTGTTCAACACATTCTTGCTTTCGGAGATAGAACTTCATCGAGGAAAGACCAAAAGGCAGTTCTTTGAGGAATTCCAGGTAATCAAATGAATACCACAAATAAAGAAGGATGCAAAAATCGGTATGCGTTTTATGAAAAAAACAACTATGCCCATTACTAAGAGTATATATTACTCAATGAAATGATTATTGCATACATCTTGCAACAAGCATGCCATAATGCCCCAGATACTCAACTGTTTACCATCAGTATTCATGCGATCCTCTAATCACAATTTCAGTGAATTAAGTATTATCACATGTTGCCATTGCCCTGATACTTACCACATACCTACTTTTAAACGCCCGTATAACTAAATCTTAAATATTATTTGTGAGGCAGCGGGGTGGATTCAGGCTCTCGTCAAAATATTGAAATCGAAGAAAACAGCAGTTTTCTTCCTGCTTAGCAATTTTTATCACTTTTTTGTTTTTTGGCTCAACATCTTTTATGTTCAAAAATATAAATTTACAGTTTCTATGGACTCTCCAGCTTTGGAATTTACCAAGTTTTGGCGGCCATTTTCTCGCTAATTTTACCTCTTAGACCAGGTGACCTCCACCGCCTTCAATCCAAAATATCTCCACTTCTATTGATAATGGATGGGTAATTTTTTCATTGAAAGCAAGACAAATGAACAAGCTGTATGATGATAACAATAACTCAATATGCTCAAAAATTGACGAGAGCCTGATTCCACCACGCTGCCTCTCTCTCTCTCTCTCTCTCACACGCACGCACACACACACACACACACACACACACACACACACACACACACACACACACATAATTATATATATGATACTGTAACTGTATTCTTCTCTCCCCACTTCAGGTTGATTTTGAGAAGTTCCTGGCCAAAAACGGTGCCATGCCATTTGCCGTCTGCTCGTACGGCGGCCAGGACAGGCGTAGTCTGAGACGTCACGCCTACCCGGCAAACTCTGTGGTCACGTGCCATCTATTCCAGGGCATGGAGCATCTCAAGTACATGACGGAAGACGGTAAGAACAGCGTAACCTTTGATGTTTGAGTTAGAGAAACTACTGTAACGCTCGAAACTGTTTGTTTGTTTGTTTGTTTGTTTGTTTGTTTGTTTGTTTGTTTGTTTGTTTGTTTGTTTGTTTGTTTGAATAAAGAGAAGCGCATGGAGACAAAAATTGTAATTTAATGGTGGGAAAAAATAAGACAGAAAAAAAAAATCAATTGTCCATCTTTGACAAATCCCCTTTCTCCACCGACCATCCTCTGGGCTATATTTTATTTACTATACACTTCCTTCTCTGAATGTTACAGCTTCAATTCCTTCAATTTCAAATCGTTTCTAATCTTGTTATAATATACGTATTATATTATTTTTTACCTTACAAGTGGCGCCCATGAACCACCCTCTAATTCTATTCATTTTCTCCCCTCTTGTCTACAGAGACGTACTGTAAGTTCCGCAGCCTTCACAACCAGATGGCCCTGGAGAAATGCTCGGTGTTCAGTATCTCCAAAAGAGGAATTCTGTAGTTCTGTTATTTGTAGATAAGATTATTTTTAGTTGTTTTTTTGTGTTTTGTGTACTGAGCTGAAACTGTGATATTTTAAACGTTTTTTTTTTCACCACGAAAAGGTCATTACAGTCAGCGTGGATATTGTCAAAGAAGTACTTTGATACAATTACCGTCGTTTGTACAGGGAACGAGTAGCATAGATAGACAGAAACAACTGCAGGGCGGAAAAGAAAGAAGACCTAGATCTATCTGTGTTGTCTTTAAACCACCCATAATAGAGGGCTTGCGATATAATAGCGTACAGCCAAAGCAAAATACAACCAGCCACATCAACTGGAGCAATATTAACAATAACAAAAACAGCAGTAACAACAACAGGAACAACAATATCAAGGATATTGAAATGTTTATCATATCTGCTCATGTTCACAATGCGGTGTTGACGCTCAAAGACAATGCATGTGACTGTGACTGGGAATTAAGGAACAAAAACACGGAATGTGTTTTCTCCTTTTAAAGACGTTTTTAAGAACTAGATTCTGGAACTACGCGACTCATTGCTCTTCATGTAGTATTTTCCTAACTACGGCAAGGTCGACGGTATAGTACCGTATAGCGTTTGTCGTTGTTGTTCTTAGCGTTGTCATAAAGTGCGGAGTGTGAAATAGATTGTTAACCATGTCTGAGATATTTGCAAGCCATATTTTGGAGAGTATACCTTTACAATGTTGTCATGTCGACATCAAATAGATATTTTTGTTGCACTCATTTTTTTTATTAACATACGTTTTAATAATCTCTTTGAAAACATTGGACTATAACATTTCACTCTGTTTATCTATGTATATAGTTCAGTTTTGCAACACTGCAAAACTTAAGGAAACAGTCCAATTATTGATTGAAGTCCCAACCGAGAAGGAGAATAATGTCATATATTCAAAGATACACTGAAACGCCATACGCGTTGCTCTGTGTAACATTGCAAATGCGCACCATAATCTTGAATGTATTTCAAAATGAGTGTACGATATGGGCTAAACAGAAATTTATTATAGTAACGTGTCCTATTTTTTGCCCGAAATAGAGTATTGTGTTAATCTTATTTGAAATATGTTCGGTATTTCTTGAACGGTCATAGAGTCTGAGGTGAGAGGGAGTTTAGTAAGATAAATTATTATGTGTAATGCCATTGTCAGAGATTTTTTTCAGGGGGGTGGGGTGGGTCTTTTTAATCTTTTTAGTAATAAGTACTAAGTACCTGTTGTGTCACCTATGTGGGCAATCAATGACACTGATAACATACGAAGTACAATCTCCCCTCCACCCCCCCCCCAAAAAAAAACCCCCAAAAGAAACAACCAACAACCCCACAACAACAACACCCTCCCTCCCCCCCAAAAAATACATTGTATTAACACTGTTTTCCCTTGTTCAAACTGTTAAGTGATTATTTTTTATATTATTATTGCACTTTCTGAAATGTGCCTCTTTCGTTTTTGTGAAATACTGAAAAGAAACATAATAATCTAAGCAATTGTAAACAAAAACCTCTGAAACTAAAATGCAGTTTTCTTTTACCGTTACATCAGTGGTATAAATTATAGATTTAGCTGAGACATTAGGCGGAAGTGTCGATGGTACTTTCTGTGTATTGATCATCACCGTCCTAAATGTCAAACATGATGTCATGCTTTGTTTCTTCCATTTTAATTAATAAGATAGTTCCTATTTGCTTGGGTGTTTGTAAAGATATTATTAAAGTTTATACAATATTTTGTGCCTATAATAAATTGAACAGTTCAATTGTAATATACGATTTTATAAACAGGCCATAGTATTACAGTAAAACCTAAAACAAACAAAACATTAAAGCAATTGATCGTTGTTTGATTTTGTGTAAACCTTGTCAATGTCAAACTTTGGGTACTTAATTGAGAGCTCATACCATGACCAGCACCTGACACTTACTAATTTTATTATTTTAAGGAAAGCATGCTACTCCCCTATCGATATGTGTTAAATCATGTTGGAGATGGGCTTCGACTCTACCTGCCAGGGCAAACATGGCCCAAGAGGTGATACAACGTGCTTGGAGAGAGACCAAGATACTCGATGCAAACTAATAATAATAATAATAATAAATAGCATTTGTATAGCGCATATCCCCGTTCAACAGCAAACTCTCTGCCCTTTACAGTATAATATACCCCAGCAGACCAAAGAAAACTCCAAAACATTCTCAGCTTCCCGGGTAGCATACACAGCAAGCAGATGATTAAGCGATCAAACACTAACAAACTGATAAGATCTTTCGCTGTCTATAGCCGGGTACCCATTCCCACCTCGGTGAAGCGAGGAAAATTCGTGAAAAGGACACAACGTCGGGCCCTTGACGGGAATCGAACCCACGACCTTACGATAGCGAGTCCGAGAGCCTAACTACTAGGCCACCGATGCCACAACTATGGTTACACGGGAATCGAACTCCGGTTTCCTGAGTGCCAACCACTACAACACAGAGGCTGAAGTGATTTAGAGACACAATTGTCCAAATTTAGTTTATAGAAAAGAAATTCAATGTTAAAAAATACAAGTGTTATGAAGTACCTATTATTTATCTGAGAGAACACTGATTTGAGAAGAAATATTCTTAGAGTACTACATTTCCAGGTCATCCCATTCTCGTTGCCAATGTAATGTCGTGACCGTTTACATTAATGTAGATTGGAGTCCAACGACTAAAGTTTCCTGAACGAGAGTGAGAGTGACCCATGACAAAAAAGAAGGTAAAAAACAAACCAAATACATGTCACACGGTACCCCAAGGGGAGATATTTTTTATAATATTATATCTGTTTCATGACCTCGTGTTCCCCATGTACTTAAGCGATTACCAACCCAACCAACTCCCCCCACCCCCCCCCAAAAAAAAAACAACAAAAAAAACTTGTGTAATGGAGCCTTAGAGTATTGGGAAGTTGCTCTCATGCCGTGCCACAGCTTTCGATTTTGGTATGTGGTTTAGTGTCAATACCATGATTGAGTACTACGACATATTGATCGGATGACTGATTGTGTGATAATACGCGACCCAAGATTACATCTCGCGATGCCTATCATTGATACTCTTACCTATCTCCCCTGTCTGTCTGTCTGTCTGTCTGTCTGTCTGTCTGTCTGTCTGTCTGTCTGTCTG